TGTGCAAGGAAGTAACATCTTTAAATAATATGACATGGTATAAAAAAAACTCATGACCCCAGATTCTCAGCTGTCAAAGCAACTATCCCTTGTATCTTGATCTCTGTACAAGATACTAGGTATGAAAATCTCCCTTTTGCCTCTTGTCTTTCTGTGTGCGATGGAGACGATGGTGACAAATAATTCCTGGAGTTGTTGATAGCAAAGTGATATTAAACCTGTGTGCATGTGAAAATCAGGCCGAGTCTTGACTCCTCTTGTCCCCATCACATGTTTGCAAACTAGGAGTCCCCCACCGCACACCTCCATCATGGGCAGGTGGTGCCCTGCATGAGGCTTTCATGGAAATAAATACCTGTCACTTCCTGATGTTTCGAGTTGACCCAGGAGAGCCTAAATTCATGCCAGAGCACATTTCCATGAAAATTTTGCTACCCTCAGAAAAAATGTACCACATGCAGACTATTTCCAGAAATACACGAGAAAGTGGGACTAGGGGCTGCCTTAAGGAGGCTGAATTTTGTAACTGGGAGAAAGAAGTAGGGGAGATTGATGTTTCTGTATGCCCTTTGTACTTTTTGCTTTGGGTACCATCTGAATATAATAATTATGTAAAATAAATCAAATAAAATATTTCATGCTGCCTCTGGTTGGAAAGAAACTTTACTCTCAACCCTTTCATGACAGTCCCACCCACTTAGCCACGGGCTGAAAGGGGAGCCGGAGTTACCTTTGCATTGAGGGGCTTCAGGTGACCAGCGTGAAGAACTGCAAGAGAGCGTGTCCTGTCCATGCAGCACGTATCCTTTGTCACATTCATATTTAATATCCTTATTTCTATTATAGAATCGACCAACTTTTTCATAATGTCCGTGGGCGATGACAGGAGGATGACTGCAACCTTGGTGGTAAGACATGAGACAGCTTGAGCTTGTAGAATGTAAAACGTAACACATTTCAGAATCTGCGTGGTTTGTAGGCAGCTTTGACCTGTCCTGCCATCTTCTCCTCCGACAGGGTCGCTTAGCCAAACCCAAGCGCCTGTGCTTCCCTCCTGTAAGCCTCAAGCTGAGGAACCATCATGGCCCCCTATTGGACACATGGTGGTCATTTCCATTATCCTTCAAAGTATAACTGGAGGAGACAAATTGGTCATTGGCACAACCCCTTTATTGGATCTTTGGCCTATGGGGTAAGAGCTGGCATATAGAAGAAAGCCAAGTAGAAGTCATTGATACGGCACAGAGCCCTCC